AGTAGCTAAGATACAGCGCAGAACCCTCAAACTCCCAGTTGACAGGTGCTAGACATTTTTATAGATAGTATCATTACCTCAGATACAATGTTAAGGAATATGTTGCGGTTTTTATTATGTCTATAAAACATGGCAATTAACAAAATGCTGAAACTTACTCCATACTAACCAGTGCTGTTAACTAATGGGTTTCCCACTCAATCAGTTAGCTAATGTGGTAGAACATCTGGGAGGGGTCTAACCTATTTCAGCTTTAGCTTGAATTTCGTGTCAACCATTTTCCTCAAAGTACTCATCAGCTCGTGATCATCTGCCTCAGCCGAACATTTTATTAATGGCGCATGTGTGTAGGTGTGCAAGCTTACTTTGCATAACACAACAAACTGGATACCTGAAACACAAATGTTGTGGACTGCCTTTGTCTTGCTCATTACGTAAAATACACCAGTCTCAAGGATCTAATCATATTCATTACAGTTTTCCATACATAGCACTTGGCAGACACAAACCCCATCTGTGTGCCTTGACAGGTCTGCCTCTTTGTTTGTGCATGTGCATCTGTGTGTGTAGATAATGATATCTGAGCACATAATGTGTAGTGTGTGCAGCTATGAGCTTTTGACTTTCTATATTTGGATATATGCATATTTGTGATCACATACAGATATACTGTATAGGTGTGTTTTTTATATATGCATGAGTATGTGTGTGTGTGTGTGTGTGTGTGTGTGTGTGTGTGTGGAGCAGGAGGGGGGTTGGATTCATGGCTGATTGTTATTCATGAAGGCGGCTGTTGCGGTGTGCAGCAGTGTGAGGTAGATTCCCTCTGGAGCCTCTCTGGTCACACAGCCTGTCTGGGACAGCATTTGAGGATCACAGCTGAAAGGAAAATACCTCCATAAGGAGTCCACTGACAACCTCACAATACAATATAATGTCACACACGGCTACAAAATCAAGTCAGAAACATACACATTTGAGCATGAAAATGAGCAGAGACATACTGAAATCAGCCTATAGTAAAAACCAAGCTGTATTAGGTCTATCATCATTTCTGCAAATCAGAGAGATCCAATTTTCCTTTATATACATACACTGACAGTGATCAAACCAATATTCTATTAATAACTAAGCCATAGTGTGAATAATACACTGCCATGAAAAAAGTATTTTCTGATTACAATAACCCGAGTAAGGTCATACTCCCCTAATGAGCATCAAGATGTGAAGTACTCCCACCTACATCACATGATGTAGTCATGTATACATATTGATCGCATTATAATGGAGTTTTGCGTATTATAGTTTTTTGCAACATTGTAAAAATAGCAACTGTTTGACCACACAAGATGGAAAAATAAAAAGGAGTTGTAGCTTTTGCAAAATTGCATAGAAAACACCCCCAAACGGTAGCATTAAACTATTTTAGTTTTTCAGCATGGTGTTCATAATGAGTCATTATCAGGCTATTCTCTATAACATTTAAAAAGGTATATGAATACAATGTTTTATTAATAACCAAAATAAGGACCAAAATAAAGTCTTATTCTCAATAAGGTTAATCATCATAATGTCGGTGTCTGTGTAAATGTAGCCAACAACTCATTCAACAACATATTACTTAACACTGTAAAATATATTACAGTTCAATACTTCAGTTGATGATTTATGCATTGTTTCCGAGCTTCGGAATCAGGACGTTGCTTTGTGAGCATATTGCTGTGTATTGTTTGGTATTTCCGATCTATACAACAGTGTTTTGAAAATAAGACTGTATACTGATGTCTTCCTATAGGTGTTTTACATCCTACTCCCTTTTTGAAAACTAGGACCTGTCAAAATTTCCGTTGAGGGTCATATGCACTTCGCCGGGTGAAAAATTTGTCATTTGAGGACAAAAAATGCTGTCCACCATATTGTCCTGTAACATTCATAGCCATGGCCATTTTGTGAATTATGGGAATTTCACTTCTAATATGGTTGGAGTCTCTCTATTTGGCCTTTTTTCCACCTGCTTACTTGAAACCATTTATTACCAAAGCATGGTTCCACAATATTTCATCCACAAGCTAAAGAGCAGTTTTATATCTTTGACAAAAACAGCTCCCACACAAAAATATCCACCACCTTGAAGTGCCCTTATTTTTTTTTTTTGCTTTCCTTTAGTTTATCGTAACTTTTCAGTACATGTAGGTTCTACTAATCTACACAGCAAAGAGTCTCCAACTCTCACACAGAAGAATCTGCTAAAGATCCTGATATTACTCATTTGCACGTGTCTACACCACCAAGTAACATGTAACATGCCACATGGCCACCTACCGGCTACCCTGGCTTGAATTGGAACAGCAAATGTGACAGCCTTGTTACCGCGGCCGCAGCGGTGTGTACAGCTGAGCAGGAAGCCTACAGGTAAGTGGCATGACATTTTATACAGAGACCCAGTGGTTGACCAATCACAAAGGAGGGCCCCAGCTGAGCTGAAACTGGGTATTTTAGAAAGAGGGTGAAAAGAGGTGTGCAGCAGATAAAATATGGACAGCCTCTGTGTTTATTTTTTATTTTGCCAAAAAACATTGTTATAATTCTAGTCGTATAATCGTCTGTAAAAAAAAGGGGATCAATAGAAGTCATCCCAACCTGACCTTTAGCCTCACCACCTTTATTGTCCTACGGTCAGATTGAGGGAGGAGGTTTATGATCTGTTCTCAGATCAGCTGTGGATGCTGCTTCTATTAAGTGTTAAACGTTCATCTCACACTTCTTTTACAAAATTGACCACCAGACCTTTTTTTTCAGTTGTGGTTTATTGTCTAAAAACAACCATCGCACTGACTGTACAGACATTAACTGGTACACTTTCTTCACTTGTGTTTTCAGCTTGGCAATGAGTCAGGGTGAATTTCTATATTTTATGAGTTAACATCGTCCGTATTATTATTATTTAAAGAGACTAAGAATTTGATTTGCATTCAGCCCGACCACATGTTTAGAAGGACAGAGTGTTCTTAGATGGTACACCTGCATACCAGAACATTGTTCCCCCTTAAACCTCAAACCAGCATTTTTACATTTCTCTATGTGTACAGTCTAAACAAACAAGATACAGTACAGTAAGTAATGTGGTTGCAGTGTTAATAGGAGAATTTTGGAAATTAAGATGGTGCTCTTAAACTTTCTCGCAAACATATAGTAATGTCGTAACATTGTCGTAAGATACTCCTTAAACTAACTACAACCACAATATCTGCTTTTTCTACTCTTGGTCAATAAACACCACATATGTAAATGAGACAAGAAATATAGTTGTCTCACTTCTTCATACTTACCACAGCGTTTTTCCTTTCAGTTGTTCCATTTGCTTAGTCCACTATATGACAAACCTCTGCTCTACTTTTTTTTTTCTTTTACTTCTTCCTCTTTTTCATGCCTCTTTCCTCTTTTCACTATTGTGTCCTTGGTGTGGCTGTTTCCTCAGCATCTTTCCCCTTTTCTCTCATTGTTTCTCTGCTCCTGCTCCCCGCTTCTCTTCCACTGTCATTCCATGTCTGTGTTTTACCCTCCTCCTCTCTTGAATCCCACCCCGGAGGTCGCTCCAGGCTGATTGCTTTCTACATGCTTCACACACAACCCTCTATACTGTCCTTAAGATCCCCTCTGCACACACCCGCATGCACACACAAGTACACAACTGTGCAGTCTTTTGCAGAGCCAAACACACACGCACGCACACACACACACACGCACTATTTCTCTTGTTCTCCTTCAGTTCTTCAGCCTTAGTCTCTTGTTCACTGATTCTCTCTTGGTCTTGCTCCTTTAGAGCCCAGGAGGCCTCAGAAGAAGACAATGCAAACAAGTAAATCCGCCATGAAAGTAAGAAAGACAAACATTTCAGTGGCATTTAAAATTCTGAATGAAATATTCACACAAAATTGAGATCATGAATGAAATTATGAATGACTAAACATGGATGTACCTATGATGGTGGTCTGGTGGGCTTTGAAATTCTACTAAGGTTTTTAAATGATCATTGCCCCCTGCACCCACTATTATTATTTTTAAAAGCATATCAGACAGCTGTTGATATTTGGATCCTATATTCTTCCAGTCCATGCAGGCACGGACTTCCATTCAAAATGAAAATCTATCCATCGACTGTTGGATGTGTGTAATCCATCACAGTGAACATCTAGCCTGCAATCATGTTTTTGGTCATCATAACACTGTAATACTGTTTGTAATTGAAACAAATGTTTGCAATAAATTCCAGTCATACATGCATGCATGCATGTGTGTGTAAAATTAATTAAATCTTTGGGCAGTTTCCCATTTTGACAGGTTTGTAATACCGCCTTGATTACAATGGTCATTAATATGAAAATGACCAACTCCTATAACAATACTAATAACAATAATAATAATATGTCTCATCATCATCATCATCATTATTATTATTATTATGTGTAATAGTATAATTACACATAATCCCGCCTTGATTGCAATAGTCATTAATGTGAAAATGACCCACCTGGAATAGTAATACTGCTGCTACTATTACACATGAAAATAATAATAATAATAATGATAATAATATTAATAACAATAATAATAATGTTTCTCATCATCATCATTATTATTATTATCATTATTATTACCATTATTATTATTGCTATCATGTGTAATAGTATAATAGTGTAATAGTGTAATAGTGTAATAGTGTAACAGTGTAATAGTATCATAGTAACAGCAGTAGTACTATTCCAGGTGGGATCTCCAACACAGTTCTACTCGAAAGACCAGTTGAAGTCAGTGCTCTGCGAAAATAGTACCGGCGGTGTTTAATACGGCGGAGGGACACAGTCGTGCCGCGTCCCTGTGAATACCATGGGATCCAGCGGAGAAACACGAGCGTGGATGGCGGCTGTGATGCGGTCCAGTGTTCCACGGTTTTTTTTTTCAAGCGGAGAGAAAAGAGACTGACGCTGGAGCGGGTGGAGACTGCCGCACATTTAAATCCCCCGGGTCGGTTTTCAGCTTTTTAGCAACGAACAACTTTTACCTTTTTAGCTTTTCTTTCCCCCCGCTGGAGTCTTCAGAGCTGGTTTAATGTCGTACATGACAGGGCTGTAAGGGCGTCGTTGTCGGGAAGTTTTTTCGAAGGGGGGGATTCGGACCAGCGAAGGGCCATGGCAGTCGAGGCTCGCCCGGAGCTGGTCGGGAAGCGGTTCCTCTGTGTCAGCGGGGACGAGCCGCCCGAAATCGGCGACATCGGCCGGTGGCCGTGGAGGTCCGGGGTCATACGAGCCGTCAACCATCGTGACAGCGACAATCCCGACCTGACGGTAAGGAAAGCGCCGAGTTCGTCCGCCTCTCGACTCTGTTACATGCAAAACGAATGGGAAAAATCTCTGTGGTTGGTGGCTAGCCAGCGAGGCAATGTTGGAGGCTTACCAGGCGGAAATTATTTTGTGGCTTTGTCTTAGTTATCATGGCTCACTGGACCAACGTGTGCACCGCTGGTATTTTTCACAGTTTGACCAAATCTTCGCATTCTGTTGTAGTGTACAAGTTCCAGCTGCTATTTGACCACTTAGGCAAGTTAATGGGAGGCAGACCACCAGCAGGGGGTTAGGGAAAGCAAACAGCTCAGGTCCAGACAGTACACTACTTATTTCCCCCCCCACACCCCCAGATCCAGAAACCCATCTCACTCATCAGTCGCGTTCTGAGGCGAGGACAGACCTCCGTGTTGGCCATGTATCAGAAACCACGAAACACAATGGCTCCGTGTAGGTACGCCGCGTCTTCACTCTTATCACAGATCATTGAAAGCGTTCATTTCCCACCGATCGTGTCGCAGATGACAGACATCTGGTCTCTCTGCTGACTGTGTGTTGTCGTCTGAGCGAGGCTGCATTCGTCAAAGCATGTGTAGGAATTTCAGTCGCGAGCAGCTCAGTTCTTTAATCTGCTGTATACTGCAAATCAGCTGACGGAGGGAGGTAAGGCTCGCTTCCTCGACTCAGCCCCTGCGTTACAGCCTTTAGGTTGAACTGATCCCTGTTACCCCCGTGGTTGTGGGTCACAATCTGCGTTATTTGTGCGTGGTGATCGACCGTAAAGCCCCGGTCTGCCCCCCCCCGTGTTTCAGGCGGACAGCCAGCCGCCCGTCTTGGACAAGGACGTAGGAATGCAAGGACTTGTGAAAACATCAAACCGGCTTGCTGCGGGCTGAACAATGGCCAGTCGATCGTCATATCAAATGTTGTCTGCGATTTCAGGACAACTCGGTGTTGTCACTTTCAGGAGCACATCTATTTCCAGCTCGGTGTGCAATTACTGTGCTTCTTATTGCAGTCGCTCGACAGGCGGTGATGGATGGAGTCCGTGGCAATACATGCGTCTGTTTCCCCACATTCTTGAAAAAAGAATATTTTCACAACAGGTTAATGCGCAGAAACCAGCAAACAATGGAATATTTGCCCTGACAAGCCCTTGGCTGTCTAACGCACTACTGTCTCAGTGTACAGTGTGCCTGTCCCCCGTTTTTCTTTTGTTCACTGAATCCTCCTATGCAGATAACTGGCCAAACCCAAGCTCAGTTGTCATTTGATTATTGAGAGTGTTGTCTTCGTACGTATGTGCCATTCTCTGAGCAAGTCATCAGATAGCAAATCTCCCAGTACACATTATCATCTAACTGTCATAGGTCTCTGGTTGGGCAATTCTTTGGTAGTTCAGGTTTTCTGCGTTTATCACTTGTATGTCAAAGCATAAAATCAGGCCAGCATGCAGGAGAGGTCCCTCTCACATGCCGTTGACCACTTGTGAGCTTTTCTATGGGGTTCTATGGGAATCATAGCTTTCTGTGCATTCTCCCTTTAAGACATGGATTTACATCAAGGCGCCTCTGTTTTTGATAGGAATTGTGTGGTGGCATAATTCCATGGATCAATTACAGTGTCATGTTGCTAAACAGCTCTCATATGTGTAATTACACGTTCCCCCCTCATCGACACAGTTTACTAGTTTGTATCACACGACAAACATGCTCACAGCTTCTTAATTCCCTTTTAGAAGTGGGTCCCTGTGTGTGATCATAATTCAGGCAATGAGTAGTGCTCTGGTTTAAGTCCATACAGTGGGGCACAGTCTCATTAGCAAGGGTCTTAACTAGCTGAATACAGGCGAGAGGGATTGGAGATTAGATTGGAAGAAGTGCGTCAAGCCAAGCTGTCAGGTCTCGGTCAAGTGTCTGGTCAGATAGGCCAGTAGTACATGGCTCAACAAGGCTGATTGGTTCTTAGCTATGAATCTTAGTGAAAGAATAATGCAGTTTACACAAGTTGAGTTTTTGCTGATTATAGAGGTGAATCTAAAGTGACCAGTCACCTAATGCCTAAAACCACCAGATTAAACCATTACTCCAGTTGGTAGCTTTTTAAGTGACATATCTTTTCTTGGATAAATGCAGTCAGCTCACAACACTGTTGTAAAACAGCTAATATCTGTAATGTAGAGTGTGAATTAATTGATTTGTAAATCAAAAGAACTGGATTTCCACATTATCATGCTTATTTAATGGTTCCGGCTGTAAATTGTAGGGATTTACTGCTTCTGCTTGTCTTAAATTATAGTGAACAAAATGTTTATGGGGTATGGTATGACAAGACAAGCAATTTGAGGATGTCAAAGAAAGTAAAATAGTTGAGAAAATAATTTACAGATAAATAATATGAATATAATCATTAGTTGCAGCCCCTATCTAATATATCTTGTGTTTTTGTTAAAGTGCAAAATGTTCTTGATTCAGAAGACATATATTGAATATTGATTTTTGCATTCATGATGTAACACAGTGCTGACTGACATGTCATCATCATGCACAGCAGAATTGAAAATACAGCATTGATAACTAGTACTTTATTAGTACGTATCGCATTTGTTGTAGTTCAGGGTAATATATGATGATATGTTACCATGTTTATGAGTTAGTGTAGTAATACCTCCACTGGTGTAATCATGTGTTATAACTGTTGCTAACACTGATTGTAATTATTGTAACTGTAATTATATCATTTCTGTAATGGCGTTTTTGTGGTTAGGGTGGCCCAGTATTGGGCATGTGGTCTTGCAGGCCATTAGACCAGTTCGGCTGGCTCTGAGCTAACGTGGACTAAACAATGAAAATGAGGACAAGCAAATTTTAGAATTACTGATGTATTTTGCTGAATTGGTTTCGAGCAAAGTCTGTATAATGGACAATGGACTGTAATAATAAAAGTAGTAGCTGTAGGCTGCATATTAATTGTTAGCTCACAAGTAGGTTATTCTTTTGGGACATTCTTTCTGTTTATTGTAGGCCATGCACAGCTTCCTAGCCTTAGTCCGCATTATGCAATGACCTCATTGCCAATTAGTAAAAAAAAAAGTGATATGATGAAACAGTGAGGCACAGTCTGGAGTTTTATTTTCATATCTCTAAGCCACTCTTTTGTATGTGTACAGGGTGGGAGTCAGTCTAGTTTATCAGAGGTAAATATTGCCACTAACATTTATAGTGGTCATGCAGCTGCTCAATATCCATTTGAAGTTGTATTGTCTGAATTCTCTTTAGTCAGTAAACCTGGCAATACTTAAAAAGGTTCAAGAACACTTTAAAGTATTAAGACACACCATTAATGACGATGTAAATAATGTTGCAGGTAACCCAGATGTGTTGGTGCAGAAATAGAATCTCGTGAAAAATGGCAGTGAGAATTGAAAGTAAAATGGAGCACAGACACTCTCATTCTCTCTCACAGAATCTCTCGGACACAGAGTTTTTGAGGGAATTCAAGAGACACTGATACAAGCTGAAAGAAAAAGTAAAAGCTCAGCAGCGGAAACCTACGCTGGCACATCAGGCATAAAACCGCCACGTTCATCTGGACTGGATTCACAATGGATAGAAAGAGCAGGGCAACCAGGTCATTGCCTATAGGATTCTTTGTTTTCCATTACAGTCCGATGTGTCTGTGTGTGCGTTTACAGTAGCAGTGCTGCTAGTTTGTTTTTAGGGCTGAAGTTCATCTCCATGTGGCTAATCAGCAGAAAATGACTGGCTGTGACCTGGGAAGAACCTTCCACATACAGAGTCCCTGCATGGTTGTTGCAGTGCTGCAATTCAGCCACTTTATAAACATTTCTAAGCTGTGTGTGAGTGTGTTAGGTTGTGAATAGCAGCATTGTTTCTAGTTCAAACATACACCAGAGAAACGGAGAATAAACATGACCTGGGGAGTATCTTTACCATGTCTATGCTACAGCAATGCTGGCATAGATATATACCATCACATGAATGTGACTATACTTGGTATTGTTCCAGTTGGACTTTGATTATAATATAATATGAATGCTGTTGAGTTTATTATTTTTATTACAGTATTATATTATCATATTAGCAGTCTTCCAAATTTGTTGTCATTTAAAATGTACTGAAGGAATGGAACATGTAACTAATAGTTAATAATTTAAGTCTTGGCAAGAATTTTTTATGGTTCAAGTCACATGAATTAAAAGGTGAAGATTTATACCATGAAATGCATATTTCTAACTATAAAATAGGCTTGGACGGCTGTTCATTTTTTCTCATCCAATCATGGAATTCAGCTCATTAATTTGTACATCAGCTTGATTATGTTGAAGTAATTCTGGTATACATTCGGCATGTTGTATCAAAGATATAACAGAAAATGTCCTTTAATAATATTGTAATTATGATCTAAACTGTAAAGAAATAAACCAATACTGATATACAGCATACAGAGTTTTCTATATAACACTTGATTTCACAATTAAATCACACATGTTCCTTCACTACAACATCTTTTTGGATGGAGCGAGTACCTGTGTGTCTACTACTTGTTTTTTAATATCGTGTTGCATTATGGGTTGTTCGTAACCGTAATATTGCCAGGCTAGCAAGTGTTTTCCGAGTCTACCTAGTCTGTGAAGTGGTTACTAGTTATCATTAGTCTTTATTAGGGTGACATGCACACGCTGACTTAACGTAGGTTGACTGCTTTGGAGGAGGCAACGTGGGGACTTGGGGTGTCAACTTCTCTTCCCAATTATTTATTTATTTTTAATTTTCTTCCCTGACAGCCAAGGTGGGTCAATGCCTGATTTTAGCCTGACTTTCAAGCGTCCGTCTTTGGTTTCTGAGCGATTTCTAAGACTTGTTTGAAAGCTTTTATTGCACTCAACATAAGAAGTTGTCAACCTGTCTGTCCTCTGTTGCTCTATGTTTGTGTGTGGAGGGGCTAAGACACGCACAGGGAAGCAACAAGAGACTAATGCA